AGGTTATCCTTCAAGGCACTCACAATGTCTTATCAGTGCTTCTTTTATCTTAAAGGTACTTTTGATAGCAGCTTACTGCTGTGATCAAGCTGTCTACTTGATAATCAGCATCCATTTTCTGGTCTTCCTGTTCTTACTTTGAAGATGTTCTTCCTTTTCAATCGATAATTATATTTTTAAATTGAGGATTATGTGATTAAAAGAAAATCAGTGTTAATTTTAAAGGCAGTGTATTGATATTGAATTGATATTGCGGTGTTATGTGACGTGACTTTTCTTATGGGAGATAATTCTCCCCCTCTGGTCTGCCCTGGTGAGACTCCACCTGGAGCACTGTGTGCACCTCTGAGGCCCTCAGCACAAGGCAGGCATTAATCTACTGCAGCAAATCCAGAGGAGAGCCACTAAGATGGTCAGAGGCTTGGAGCATCTGTCACAAAGAGAGGCTGAGACGCGGGGCTGTGCACCCTAGAGAGGAAAAGGCTCCAAGGAGACCTCATTGTGGCCTTCCAGTACACAAAGGGAGCCTGCAAGAAAACTGGACAGGGATTTCTCACAAGGGTGTGTTGTGCTAGGACAAGGGAGAAGGCCTTAAGCTGAAGGAGGTTAGATTTAGATTAGACATTAGGATGAAATTCCTTGCAGTGAGGGGAGTAAGGAACTGGCACAGGTAGCACAGAGAGATCATGGACTCCTCATCCCTGGAAGCATTCAAGGCCAGGCTGAATGGGGCTTCGAGTAACCCGGTCTAATGGAAGGAGTCCCTGCCTATGAAAGGGGAGGTGAAATGAGATGATCTTTAAGGTTCCTTCCAATCCAAGCCATTCCATGATTCCATGTAATTTGTGATATTCAATAGCCTAAAGTGTATATGCGTTCTGCTTTAGCTAGGATAGAGCTAATTTCTTCTCAGTAGCTATTACAGTGCTGTGTTCTCGATTCAGAGTGAGAATAGTGTTGATAACATGCTGATCTTTTGGCTTTGGCTAAGTTGTGTTTATCCCAAGTCAAGGATTTTTTTTCCTTGTATCATGCTCTGCCAGTGAGGAGGTGAGGAAAAGAAACTGGGAGAGAGCATAGCTGGGATAGGTGACCTGAACTGTCCAAACAGATATTCCACACCAGAGAACACCAGCCCCAGCATAGAAAACAGTGGAAGTTTCCTGGCAGGAAAACTGTCCTGGGTTTGGGGAGGGGAAGCATGGCATTGGTCAGCAGGTGGTGAGCAATAGCATTGTGCATCACCTATTTCCTTTTTATTAACATTATTATTATTGTTATAAGTATTATTAACCATTATTATTGCATTTAACTTTAATTATTAAATTCTTCTTATCTCAACATACAAGTTTCACTTCAATTCTCCTCCGCATTCCACTGGGGTAGGTGGGGAAGAAAGGGCTGGGTCGAGCAAGTGGCTGCATGGTGCTTGATTTCTGTCTGGGCTTAAATCACCACAATACGGTAGAGATCTTTGGCTTACGTGCTATTCCATTGCTAGAGTTTTATTTTGAATATTTTAAAAGGTCAGAAATCCTTTTTTCCTTATAAGTCTTTACTATGAATTCATCCTTAAAGGCTTTTTCCTCCCACAAACCTTTCTTTCTCTCCATGTCTCCACAGTACAGATGTATTGTCATTATTTTGATCCATTGTATATTTCAATCTTTACTGACAACTCAGAATTAATCTTCTTATTGGCTACTTGTCAACGTTATAAAATTATTTCAGAGCTGTCTGTTTTCCTTCAATGAGGTTTTCTGTTAAGAATAAGTAAGATATTATCTTTATTTGTATTGTGAAGAGAAATTGTCTTCAGTTTTGAACAAATCTAGTGTTACCCAGCTCCATCCGTTACTCTTCAGGTCTAATATTGATCATTATGGGTGATTTGTGGTCCTTCCTCAATATTTATTTTTTTTATAATAAAAATGCTGCATATTTCCATTAAATTAAGGCCATGGTCATATGTTACTGTAGCAGTATTATCTAGCAATGAAGATGATTTGGGCTGTTCTAGATGATATGTCCTGAAGCAGATAAGTGTTCTGAATTCAGTGCCAAAATCTATTACAAAATTCAGTGTTTGCTTTTTAGAAACCTAACTATCATCTAATAAACTGAACATGGTTCAGAAATCTATTTAATTTCATTCATTTCAAAACCTTTTTCTCCAGCCTTTTACAGTAAGTGCCTTCAATTTCACACCTTGTTTCTTCTACAATCATTATCTCTTCTGAAACTTCCTCTTTTTTTGAAGAAAAACTTTTTTCCCCCTGAATTATTTAGAGCATCATTTTACTGTAAAGTTGAAAGCACACATTGTTACTAAATTCATATTGAAGTTGTCATGTCTTTTTGAAATTCTTTATCTCTCCAAGAAGATTTAAATCCCATTTTCCCATCCTTACATAGTAATAAAAAGCATGCATAAGTTTGGGTTTTTTTCTTATTTATAGGAGTCTGGCCTACGCCACCACCATGGTGGTGTCTAACCAAAAAGTAGAAGAATATTGTTAACAAAATTTGCCTAGGTAAAGGTGGTATTTTTGATTGCATTATTGAATCATGGTCAGTAATGTACCACATATAAATGTCTACTTCTACTAGATACACAATTAGCAATAATAAGTTTGGTCCTTACATGAGATAATATTTCTCTGGTCTAGATACATTCTTCTTTACCAGTTTCATATGTGTTGCATCTGTCTAGCAAGGCAGAGCAACTGCCTCAAAAGTTTGACTGAATTTCTGGTGAGTAGGTGGCATTATGCAAACGAAGACTAACATGCAAAGAAACTGTTAGTGATGTTTGTGGATAGTGAAATGTGTGTTTAACACATAATTCCCAGGCCAATGAAAATTGACTTAGAGGAAGTCTTAATGGTATTTACAACAGCTGAAAATTTTCAGTGAGCAAAGAAGCTGCCCAAACTAAATGAAACCTGTGAAATTGTTGTGGTGTAAGGTCCACCAATACTATCAAATCAATAAAAACCCGAACATGTCCATCAATGATAAATCAATAAATAAATAATAAACAAATAAATACTCAAATATGTATTGCTAGCCTATGTGTATGTACGTTGGTGCGCACTAGTAAAACACGGGACTTGTTAATCAAAGGTACTAGGGGACTCTGAAATGTGTGTAAGTTACTCAGTAGAGACTTCATTCCTTAGTGCCTTGGTGTCAGAGCATTGGAAACCTGGCTCTTAAACGGGACCCCTTTGCTTTACTTCAAGGTTAGTGACTGATTTTTGAAATGTACAGTCTCCTCACTCTTTTCATACATCTATAGTCCCTAACAAGTCCGTATGAATACAGAGGCTGATCTAAAGGTGTAACACTGAGCTGCCTTTGAAAATGTGATTTGAAAAAGAAATTAAGATAAATGCTATTAAAGATAAAAGGTAAATTCATGCACATTCTAATAGTGGACTCAAGGTTGGGTTTTTTTTAAAATTTGTTTCATCTTGTAGTTCAAAAACATTTTTCTGAATACTAAACATAATTTTTGCACAAATGATCAAGGCAATCCATAACTCTGTCTTTCACGACACATTTACAAAGCTTTCATGTTTATGCATGATTCCTGTAAAGGGGTTTGAACAGGAGGAGAAAGGAATTTTCAAACATTGGTGAGCTTCAGACAAATTATTTCATTGATTTACTTGTTCATGTAGCAAATGATTAAAATGGACTTTGAACAGTGTTTATATTTATCTCCCTGTATTTAATTTAATAGATAAATGTAGTCAATATCAGCAAGAATCTGCTATCTTTCATAAACTTTTTCATAGACATCTATTATTTAAGAGGACAATTCTTCATTCATTAATCATATTAAGTGGTATTTTTCTTTATTTTCAAGATTTCAGTTAATGTTTTAAAAAGAAGTTTGTTTACAGTTATATGGAGCAAAAAACCAGTCTTGAAATAGAAATTGATTGGAGGAAGAGTAAGGAAGACTACATCAATGTCAGACTTATATGTTACTGCCCAGTCCTTTAATGACATGTTTAATTAAAAAAAAAATATTTTTTTTTTTAAGAGTATAAACTCTTTCTCTGGTGTTTTAATATGTTAGGTGACTAATTTCATCTGCTGAAAAATCTCTTGGTTCTCATCTCATTCTTCAGATGATACAAAAATACTTGCAAATATTCCTGTAGCCTAAGCTACCAGCTGGGCTACCAAGGCATCTATAAATCTTTGGTAAACACAGAGAATCCTCAAACACAGCTTAGCCAATATTTCTTTTGGAAAAACAGGAAAACCTGGCATACTTCTGTGTAGCCTTCTGCAGTCTGCCTGTGAGGTCAGCATATACAAATATCGCTGAACTGGGATAGAAGTATTCTGGGAAATCAATCTCTCTTTTTCTCCTTAGTAACTGTGAATATGCCCTCCTACTTTAATAATCTGATTTATAATGCTAGAGTATAACACAAAGAAATAAGCTATTTCTAGGACAGTAGCTGCTTAAGCCATATAGAACCTCATGGGTGATGCTCTATTTTGGCTTCAACTTAATAGATGCTTACAAAGAACTCTAATTTAAGATAATTCAATGGATGGAAGATTTCCCATGTCATGGAACATATAGGGTAGGGTGAGACAAATACATCCATAGTTAAAATCAGGAGTTGTGCCTGAGGAATAGGTACTTTTGGACTAACACTTCCAACTTAATAATATTCTCTAGAATAATTGTAAGGCATGACAGAATTTTCTTTTCTTTCTTGCAGTATATGGAGATTGGAAGGTTGAAGTTCTCTGATTTACCAAATTTAACACTCAGCCTTATTTTCATTCTTGGTGACAATATTCCCCTCTGCATCCAGTAAAGATGGAGATTTTCCTTGGCCCTCCTCTTGTTGTTAAAGTATTTATAAAATTACTTTTTATTATTAATGTATTTATAAAAATACTTTTTATTATATTTCACAGCAGTGGGCAGATTTTAGCTGAGCTTTTATCTTTCTAATTTTCTCTCTACATGACCTAAGGACATTCTTCCAAAGTTGCCAGTCCCTTGCTCCAGAGGTCATAAACTCTTTTTTTCCCTAAATTATTGCAAAAGCTCTGTGTTCAGCCAGACTGGTCTTCAACTCTGTCAGTTTGTCTTTCAGCACATAGGGACAGCCTGTTCCTCCACCTTTAAGGTGTCATTCTTAAATTGTGCTCAGCTGTCCTGGTCCCCTTTGTTGTTAAGGACAGTTTCCCAGGTGACTCTCTGAATCAGTGTCCTGCACCCTGTAACTCAGTGTCCAGAGTTCTACGTAAACACCTATTAAGGCCGAAGTCCATCCTTCAGAAGTCCAAAGTAGAGGTTTGGTTGTCCCCTTCCTTATTTCACCAACTGAAATTGAATTTGAAAACACTACCCTGTCATGATCACTGCCCCCCAGCCAGCCTCTGACCACCACACATCACACCAGCCTTTGTTTGCAAACAGAAGCTCTAACAGGGCACCAACCCTTGCTAGGCTCTCTCCCCAGCTGTGGAAGGAAGTTCTCTTCCATACACTCCAGGAACATCCAAGACTGACTCCTCTCTGCTGTGCTGAGTTTCCAACAGACATACAGCAGCTTAAAGTCTTCCACAAGTACAAGGACTAGGTAAAAGGAAAAGGCAACATGATTATAAAAGTCAGGAAGCATTATAGCATTTGAGAATGAGTTATGTTGATAAAATAATATTTGCATGAGGCCTGGAGACAGAAAGTACTCTATTAATTCATGTCTGCTGTGTCATAATATTTGACTAATTGGATTTAGTCTTAAGAGGTCAGTGATGTGTAGAGGTATTGTTGCATTTGTAGGTCGATGCACACTGTACAAGTCATGAATACATTTTTCTGCTGGAATAAATCCAAAATGCTGCCCTGTTATCCTTTTAAAATATTGAAAATACCAAAAAATTTGAAGAGCCATTGCATTCTTTCAAAATCTGTGAAAAAAAAATAACTGTCATCTCTCTGATTATAGCACTCAGAGCTTGAGGATCCTTCTGATTTATGTCTTATTTACAATATCCTTAGTGAAAGAGGATTACATAGATGAAATTAGTCCTCAAGTAGAGTAGGATCTCTGATTGGGTACTTTCCAGGGAATCCTGTGACTATACTAAATTCAGTCTTGCAAATCAATATTTCATTATTTAATCTAACACCTAAGGCACCTAAATGAAATGAAGAAACCTTAAAAAAAACGACCTGTAAAAGTTGTCAAAAATGTGTCATAGAATATGAAGAGGAATAATTAAGGGTCTAATTTGGCTTCTCAGGATATGTGTCAATATGCAAATATGGCCTGTCTGTAATCACTGATGCAGTTGCTGGTGGGTAGATGCCTGAAACAAAATTGTTAAGCAACAGTGGCTCTATTAATATGCTGGAGAAAAGCTGTTATGACAGGACAGCAGGACTGATCCTTTTGCTGAATTCTTGTGACATAGAACAAATAGAGATTTTTGTCAAGTGTTACCCAGCAAAAAGCAATCTGATCCTGATTTTCCTAGCTTTGTTGGGTAGTTTTGGAAGGTCAATCACTCACATGACCAGTTGGTATTGGTCTATTTCATGGCTACTGTAAAGTTAAAACAGGTTAATAGAGTCTATGATTGCTTCTTATTTAAAAATTATCTTAACTGTTATTACAAAATATTATTTTAAGTTTGGGGTTTTTTTAGGACAAAAGCTTATGGGCTTGATATTTTTTGAAAGGCTGAGAATTGTAATGAAAAAGATACATTAATATACAGGATAGCAGACTTGCAAAGATATCAAATGACATGTTTTCATAAACCCACACAAATTAGAGCTGTAGAAGGTCCATTAATTTTCAGTTAGCTGAATTCCCTATGTATGGCAGCATTGTTCCCCTGTAGTGTATTTTTCTGAGCTTTGTTAGTCTCCAGTTTAAAAGACCCCTGCAACAAGACTTTTACAGCTGCCTTGGGAGATTTCTAAGGTCATGAGATGGAAATTTGAGGGCACTTTGTTTATCTATAGCAATGTTAATGGAACTAATAATGTATTCAGTATGTTCTTTAAGGTTAGTTACTCGACTGTTGACATACTCTTAAGAACTGAAATAGGCAGTTATTCTGGATTCACTTGAGGTTTATACAGGAGAAGGGCAAAAGATCAAGAGATTAATGGGATCTTGCAATCTTTTTAATTTTTCATAATAATTATTTTTTTACTCATCTTTTAAAAAAATCTAGTCTTTCTAATATAGCTACTATGGGCATAATATTAGCATAACACTTTTTTTTTCTTTCCAGGAAAATTTATGATTCTGCCCAGTGCATACAGAAATAGAAACAGGCTGTGTCAATAGTTAGGGCAGTCCTCAGTAACTGAGGATAATAGTTTTAAATCTCTCACATATTTGGCATTATTTTAGCAATCTACTTTTCTCCCCTCCCCATCAATTGCCCAGCTGTATCTAAACCTCAGCAAAATTAGATAAATACCTCGGCTTTGGATAGGATAATAAGAGCAAAGGAGGATAATTCCTCCTTTGCTCTTCTCATTCATCTGACAGCCCATAAACAGCCTGAGTTGGAGAAGTCAGAAGCTGTTCATACTGAATGCCTGACATTGGACATCTTTATTTAGTATGCAGAAGTACTGTTAGTTACTATACAGACGTTGTGGACAGACTGGGCCTAACTCTCAAAGACAGCAAAAGCCTGAAAATTGCTAGTGTCCTAAACAGAATTACAAAAGAACCTCTATTACTGTTAGATCTCAAATAATAGTTTGTGGAGGTTCAGGACACAAGGTACAGTGCTAGGCTTGTGCTGAGTATATTTCTGGGAGCCCACAAGACCAGGGTTTTGTTGGATCATTGGTATTACTGGAAAAACTCACATCAGTGCAAGTGTGCCTTGACTGTGTTTGAGCTCTTTCCATTTGGAAATTCTGTTATCAGTCACCTGGAGAAAGATGCTTCACCCCAGGTTATCAACAGTAGGTTCAGTCATCTAAATCAATGTTTAAAACTTTGCATTGTTATGAAATGTGAATCAATCTTGGACTCCGGTACATATGGTATATTTCCTGATAATGGATCGTGGGTTTGATGAAAAGTATAAGACTCACATAAATTTCTCACTTTTCTGTTTTCCAAGTAATAATTTTTATTCAATATATACAGAAATTATGTATTTAATTGCAAAATGACAAAAGAATTATTTAAGTTATTGACTTTAATTTATCCTTAAGAATCCTTAAGGTTAAGAAAGATAGATCACAAGCTTAAAGTAACTTGCTTATAATATTTTTTTTTAAAATTAATTTAAATACTCAAAAGATCTGTTTGTTTGGCATTTTTTTCATAAGGTTTTTGAACACCAGGGAAGGAAAACTAAAATCATTAGGAATGTAAATAATCTTGTAGAACAGGTATTAGTTAGACCTTTTTTTGTTCATACACTTCAGTGAAACAGAGAAAATTATTTAATCTTGTGCCACGGTGCTTCTTTTTAAGATAGAAATAATGTTTCATTCTTTTTTCTCACATTTTTGTTTGTTTTTTCATCATATACCTTTGTATTACAAACACCTTGGGACATCATTATCCTTTTTTATATATGTGTAAATTAAGAAATGGACAAAAAATATGGGCTTTTTTTTTCTGGGGTAGGTGAGGCCTATATCAATACTAAAAAGCAAAGGCAAATTCATTATCTTGAAGAATAGATTTTACATATAAGGCATTGGGATAAAAGTTAAAAATTTGTATGCCACCTTACAAAAGGAGTTTTGAAGAAGAAGCCCTTGCCCTTCTTTGTTGTATTTCTGCCTGAGATGGTGCCTTTGAAACTAAAAAAATATTTTTTACAAAGATCATTTTCTTTCACTGAGTTTTGTGTACAGCTGAGATGAAAAATTCCACTTTTGTTTTACTAAGAGCAATTTCATTTATTACCTGATGTTCCAACATCTGTGTTTGTGCACTAGAATTGTCAAAGATACTGGCTTAGTTCTGGGAGGTTTGTATTTGGTACAAAACATTGTGTTTTACAGAAACCAGTCACAAAGTTTCTTTATTTTTCTTTTCTAATACCTCAGTGAAAGAGCTGGAAATCTCATTTTTTCATCCTGATCTGGGTGGAAGTAGGATTTGATTATTTTTTGAAGTAGGAACGTATTTTCACATAAATTCTACAGCCCAACTAAATTTCTCAAATAAGTAAAGTGTTTTACTAGAAGATAAAGTATTTGTTTTAACTGAGGCTTAGGATGAACTGTAGGAGGAGTGAATGTGAGGTGAAGAAAAAGATTACTGTGATTTGTTATGAGAACTTTGCCTTTCATTTATGTAAATTTAGTGATAGCTCTCATACACATATATAACCCTTCTCTGCATTGTCTTTTGTTTCCTGTCTGTTTAATTGAACACTGATGTTCATTTTGAATTTCCCAACTTATTCTAGATACGTTAAAACTCCACAACTCTACCTAGAGCTGATTCGTGTTTATGCTTTGTGCTGTGAAACAGTTTTTGGTAAAGGAAGGAGGAGACTTTGAAAATGTGAAGAATGTGACAATTTAAATTATTGAAAAATTCAATTTCCTTGATCTTAGAGGAGGAGTAAAAGCAAACTGCCAGTAATTTAAATATGATAATTTCTATCATAAGTTGACAGCAGATGTGAACAAAAGAGACAGGAAATAGATGAAGACAGAGGAAAATTGAGAGCACAGAAGTTAGTGTATGCAGAACTGGATAATGTCTGTTGAAAGAACATGACTTTGATTGGTTTCTATAAATGCTCTGCAGCTAAATGAATGTAAGTTAGGTTTGTTGTTTTTGTTTTTTTTTGCCAGGCAATGTTCTTTTTAACTTGGCTAATGAATGAACACAGGATCAGAAAAGATTTTTTTTCTTCCACAGGTTAAGATAATTTTTTCCTTAACATACATGTTTCTACAAACATGTGCTATGAAAAGTGGTTATTGAGAGGAAGAAAGAAAGAAATTGCTGGGGGAAACAGGAACACTAAGCTTGCTAGGCTGAGTACTCTTTATTTCCTACTTAGGATACTTGATATAGAGTACCATGGACTATAACAAAGATGCATCTGTAAATGGATGCATATCTGCATATCATTGCAGTATACAATTAAGCTCCTAAAAAAAACCCTGTATGCTTTAATGAAGGCAATTTTCAAACCCTTTTATATAAACAAAACTAATCAGAGGGAACTGGCAGGTTTTTATTGTTATTCTCGTTAAGCATTATCATTATTTTGTAGCAAAGTGGTGGGGGAGAGCTGTAGTTATAACTAGCACTTGTTTATTAAAACATTAGTCATAAAAAATTACTCCTTCTCTCTTTGAGTCCTGGTTTAAATTCTGAACTCTTGTTTCTACAGCAGAAAATCCTTATTTTAAAAAAGTCTGTGATAAAGGCTCGGTATATTCTCCCTCTGGAAATGCAGACACTCATTTTTAAACAACCTGCCATGCAAGTTACACCTACAGAGCAAATTGCATTTATGTTTTGGAGGAAGAGAGAGGATAGGAAAGAATATGTCCCCAACTTTGCAGAGCATTAATGCATATGATTTACATCTACCAGTTTTCTCCTGGTCTTCACTCCCTGCATTTCCATGGCCTGTTTCACCAGTCTGCACTGGTTTTAGCAGCCTATTTAAACTGCTGATGGCAATAGATGCCAGTGTCAGACAAGTGTACTTCTGGGCACCTTTGGAGGGGAGCTTAGGAAAGGAACAACCTCCAGAACCTCTTGGCCCACTGTCTGATCAGCAAAGATAAAAGAGAAAATACAACAAAAGTTTCTTTTTCATAGTTGATATTATACCTGAGAAAGTAATATGAGAAAAGGCCCATCATATGGAATAAATGGCTACTCTGATCTCAGCACTGACATTAATCTAGGCCTTTACTGTCAGAAAATTTCCATGGATCATGTGTATGTTTCTGTCATGGTTTAATCCCAGAGAGCAGCCAAGCCCCTCACAGCCACTTGCTCTCTTCCCCACCAGTGGGACTGGGGAGAGAGCTGCGAATGTAAAAGCCAGAAAACTCATGGGTTGATATAAAAAAAATTTAATAGGGAAAGAAAAAAACATGCACACAAGCAAAGCATAACAAGGAATTGATTCAGTGCTTCCCATGGGCAGGCAGGTGTTCAGCCATCCCCAGCAGAGCAGGGCCCCATCACACACAGCAGTGGCTTGGGAAGACAAGCACCATCACCTGAAACATCCCCCTCTTCCTCCTTCTTACCCCCACTTTATACACTAAGCATGATGTCAGATGGTCTGAAATGTCCCTCTGGTCAGTTTGGGTCACCTGTCCTGGCTGTGACTCCTCCCAGGCACCCCCAGCTTCCTCATCAGCACTGCAGTAGGAAAGCAGAAAAGGCCTTGGCTCTGTGCAGGGCCTGCTCAGCAATAGCAAAAACACCTCTGTACTATCAAACCTGTGTTCAGCACAAACACAAAACACAGCCCCACACCAGCCATTGTGAAGAAAATTAACTCTACTCAAGCCCAAACCAGCACAGTTTCAAAATAGTAATTTGAACCTGCTGTGATTGATCATTTTACCAATGGTCTTAATCTCATTACATCGTATTCTTTGAATACCTTGCACTTTAATTTAGAAGTATCTTGAAGTCTTCCCCACTGTCTACATAATCTCCTTGCACAATATCTTTGGATTCATGCTAGGAAAACCAAAAAAAACCACAAACATGTACCACTGGCATGAAAGCTACCTCACAGGTGTAAGGCAGCTGGAAATTTCTGCTGTAAGTGTGTATCACACTTCATTTACAAATAAGAACATGTCTCACTGGAGATTTTATTTCAGCATGTTTCTCATGACAACACTGGGACAGGCTGTAGACTTACAAGACTTAGCCACCGCTGAAAAATAGATTAAAAGTAAACTATTTGCACTGTATATGCTCTGCAGATGCCTAGAGCCCAGCCAATCAAAACTTTTTATGGATACCAGTGGTTCCTGTGTTAAAAATATGCTCTGCACTTTCTGCCACATTTTCTAATTTCTTAACTTTTTTATAGTCATATCTAATAGTGTGATATTTAAAGTGGAAAACAAAATGTTTTTTACTATTTAAGGTACTCTTATTTTAACCCATTAATAATATCTGTCTGTCATTTCAAGACTATACAGACCAAAAATTTCCAGAAGGCTGACTTCACTGTATTTTTGCTTTATAATTCTGAAACTTATATAATCATTTTGGAAGATGCTAACATGCTTGCTTGAAAGCTCAGGGCCTGTAGAATATGTGTATATTTTAGATACTTTCTATTCCCCTGCCTTTCCCTTTGCGTGCTTACAGAGCTAGCAGGGCTATCCAGGATTTGCATTATAGTCACAACTGTCATAAATGTTTAGAAACAAACTGTAACACATTATAATGAACTGGCCTTGTCCACCACGTTTTATAAAAGTAAATTTTGTATATTTTAAACATAACTCCAAGTACTCATTCTCTGCTGGTACAGCCCCGCTTAGATGCCAAGTATGTCAGTGCAAAACCATAGGGGAAATAAAATCCAGAATTCCCCTAAATTTGCTGTATGATACTCAACCCATTAAAAACTGGTAAAACAGGGGAAAAGAACTTTTGTAAAACTGATAAACAAACCATCATGCCTGCTGTTAACACAGATTTTCTGGGTTTAACTCAGAAGACCTGCTTTTTCATTTTGGATTCAAAAGCACATGAGACAGCAAGGTTTGAAGTTGAATCAAGATTTTCAAATTGCCTGACAGGAGATTATCTCCCATATTCACACTAAGGATTTGCAGATTCGTAGAAGTGTAATAGCTCAGGATGTTTAATTTGCTATCAGTTGTACCATCAGTGTATGTTCCATATTAGTGCAGCCAGAAAAAGGGAGTGTCAGAATTCAAACCATTATCCAGATTAAATTCTTTTTACTTTTCATTTGATTAAACTTCCAGATTTTCCATCAAAATGCAAGCCTCATTGCACTTTCTCAATTCTAGACCTGAATAGCTTTATCATAACCAACCTCATTAATTCAGCAGGAGCAACTTCTCCCAAAGCATGGCATTTCTATGGAAACCTGGAGAAAGTTCCTCCTTCTGGCTTAGAAGTGCTTTTCTGAAGCACTGAATGAACTGGTGATTTCTAGGGCACAGTAACAATAAGAACAAATGTAACATTAGGAAGATATAAACTACATCAAGAGTGACTGAGCATGATCCAAACTGTAAGCCTGATATTAGTATGTGAAGCTGAAATGGTTTCCCCATTACCATATCCTAAGAGAATGAAGTTAAACACTAAGGACCTTGTGTGTTTCCTGATTTTCTATAGTGCAAAGTAAATCATAAGTCCTTAGCAAATGAGCTACAATAATTGCCAGCCTTCTATAATAAATCAACATTTAATTACCAGCTTGACAGGTCATAGAAGTTTAAAAAGAAGTTGGCAAATTCAGAACAAGAAGATTTATCAAGCTACCCTTATTTTCTGTGTTGTTTAACCCAATCCTAAACAAAGTAGCATGTCAAGTTTTTATAAACAGCCGGCTAAATTATCATGCACTGAGCAACTTAAAAGCAATGTAGAGATAAATTATTTCTGTAAAAGCGCTATTTAAAGTTTTTGACTTTTACCAGTATTCCTGTCAGTAAGGTATTTGATTTCCATTTACATGCTTTGGAATTTGAGATGGGGCTTTATTATGTTTTTTTTTTTTCATCAAACCAAAACAACATTAGTTACACCATCAAATTTTCAGAGAAGTTTTGTTTAAAAATCCATTTCCAGATGGTCTCTGTGATATGAAGGCAATCATGCATGAAACAACATATTTACTATGGTAAATATGTTTATTTACTTATTTATTTACTGTGGATTTTTAGGACAGTTGCAAACCTGTTGTTGTTTTAGAGTGTATTTTATTCTTGAAGTCGCTTTTTATCAGTGATGAACAAGTAGAATTTAAGGAATAAAATCATCACATTCACATTTTAGTAGGTCAGAAAATAAATGTATCTCAAACTGTATCTTTCAAAGGGCTATTTTAGGGAATTTGGGAAAACACGGTAAGTTCTCAATAGAATTAATTTCATATTCAAAATACTTGGCTTTTTATTTACTAATTTTTGTAACAAATCTCTTGTGGTAATTATGCTAAAAATAATTTCATTTTAGACAATAATTTAGGGTTTTGAGTTTCATTTTCCTCTTTTTTCACTAGAGCACCAAACGATGGTTCTGTAGTGTGCTATTTTTTTAAAGTAGCATCCATTCACAGAGGCATTTCTTGACATGCTGGCCTTTCAAGAATGACAGCAGAGCAACTAGTTCTGGTAACTTTTCTCTAATGTGTGTATAAAAACGCTCAAATTAAAAGAAAATAAAAATAAACATTATTCTTTCTGTTCTTGTTTTTGGGCAGAGAAGGGGTTTATCAGCAGATCTCAAATAGCTAACTGAAATTATGGATCCTCCAAATGAGGACAGGCTCTCTAAGGTGGCCCAGCAGTCCCTAAGCAACATCCTGGCCACCAGCACGGGCGCAGGTGTCAGCAGCTGCGTGTGTTCCTGTCACAGGCAGAGAGAGGTGTGCTCAGCCACGTTTAACTGACAGTGTCACAAGGCCTTTCACGAGAGTGCACTGAATGATTTATCACTATTCAGCTTATGAGTTGCACAGTTCAATCATCTATCTTCATAAAATGCTGGTGACAGCCTCCACTGCGCATCAGAATGTTGCTAACCCAAGTAAAGTATGATGCAAAGATACTACGTTTTCATGATTTATTGCCTGTGGGTCCTGTAATTACTAATTATGCATATGACAGACCACCTAATGCATAAAATTCAGCTGAAAACCTGCAATGAAAAATTATAATAGCAGTGCAGTTCAAGTTCCTTTTGAAAGGAAATTTTACGGTAAGGAGAGAGATGAAATTTTGTAACTCCCCCCCAAAAAACCCCCATATCTGCATTTGGAATTTTTAATAAAACTGCAAAAAAGGGAAAAAAAATCTACTCATTTTTAGCCTCTCCATTTTCATTAATTAAAAACTAATGGAATTATTAATAGATGTGTGGACAGAAAAAAAACTTGGAAAAGAGAGTAATTTTTGATAATTCATGAAGTGTCACCTTTATTCCTATGTGTCAAAGACTAAACTATTAATTTCCTAATATTTTCAGATATGACAACATTTCTGCCAACATTTATTTCTTCTTTTGCCTACTAAAACAAAGACAAAATTAAATATTAAGACATTTGTGAAGTAAAAAGCAATAATAAAATAATTATTGCAAATGTGTGGTCAGCAAAGAGCTTAAAAAGCTTTTGAAATGTGTGTTAGTACTGTATTTCACTGTAAGAAAACTGTTGAACTGTTAGGATCTATCATTATTCCCCTTAACTAAATGCCTGAAGGAAAAAAAAACCACAGAAAAATAATCTTGCAATCTATGTATAACCTTTATATCTGAGTTAGAATTTTTTGCTTTCTTCTTTAGAGATTAAAAAAAAAAGAAATTCTATAAAAATTCTATAAAAACCTATGTTACAAACTGCTGGTTCTTCTAGTCTCACCAAGAACAATGCAGATGCAAGGGTGGAGCTCCATTTTAAGGTAGAAATTTAATTCAGCAGAGGTTGATTCCCTCACTGTCAGAACAGATTCAGTAATTATGAGTGGGTACAGTATATATAAACTGAGTTGGGAGCAATTGTTTTTATAATGAAATCTAGTAGTAATAGTAACCAGGAAAAGTGAGTGCCTCTCCATTACAAGGATTTAGATTGTCACTGGCTGGTGAGTGTGAAGGATAGAGCAGTTCATCTAATCCAATTCCATGAAAGCTGGGGGTTTCTGTATGTTGGCCTAAATTTTCAGCTGGTACAGATACCTGGAGGTTCAGGACTTCAGCAGAGGCATTTTTACTTGGCTCACCATTCCATTTTCTTCATCAGTGACATTAACCCCAGCTGAACTCACTGTACCAAAAGGACAAAAATAAATTTGTGTGTCTCTTTAATACTTATTATTATTATTTCTGAGCCATATGATTTTTATAGTTGTAATGATAACATCACAGTTTCAGATCTCTCAATCCCTCTGATACTAACTAGCAGATACCAGTATCGTGTGCATCTGGGTAGGTATCAGTGTGTTTCTCCCATGTCAGCTCTCCCACTGTCCTATGAATATTACTGACAGGGCTCCTCTGTTCCTGGCTCTCTCTCTTCCAGCCAATGGATTCATCCTGCGTTTCAAAGGTAGCTCTTCTAGGACCCAGCACTGTAACAGTGCTCTGCTCTGATCTCACTGCTGTGCTGAAAGATCCATTGCTGTGTGGCTGTACTTGAAAGAACTGCCTTTTCTCTCTCACTGGGTGTGAAGTCATTCCTCATTTTCCAGGAATCTGGGGAAACCACTGAAATTCACAGTTTATCTAATGCTGTGTTAAGGAGCAGCAAAATAGGGCACTGTTTATTTGAAGACTAGATGGTCGGATAGTTTTTCAAAGGTGTAAGGTTTAGTAATTTATACAATGACTTCATCTTTGACAACCCCTAGTGCAAAATGCAGGTGAGAGGGAATGCTGCCATATCAAACTGGCAGGGAAGCAGAGGAGCTGGAGGCGTTTTCAACTTTCGTTACTACTTAGAACTTCTTTTATGCTGAAAGGCTGCTTTTTTTAGATATTTCCTTATAAATGAGCACAAGAAATAACACTCTTAAAACCTAGGACAGAGTTAATGGACATAGTCAGAGTACGGGCTATCTTGACTTTGAGATGTAACTTGCATTGTTCAATGTCAGTCTATGAACAGTGAATATTCAGTAAAATGTAAAGCAGTCCTACAGTGCTAGCATTTTAATCATGTTTTTAATCTTTTTCTGAGAAAACCACTCCCTAAGATCCAAATATTATTATTGTCTCCCTTTGAGAGAGAATATATTTTATGTTTACCTGCTACTGTGCTCTTAACAAAGAAAACGTAATATATAAAAACAATATTGTCCTGTACAGACAGGACAAGAGGACACAGCCTCAGGCTGTGTCAGGGAAGGTTCAGGTTTGATATCAGGAAGAATGTTTGTACTGAAAGTGTGGTTAAACATTGGATCAGGCTGCCCATGGAGATGGTGGAGTCATCGTCCCTGGAAGTGTTCAAGGAATGACTGAAAATGGTGTTTAGTGCTGTGGTTTAGTNTCAAAGATAAATCAGAAGTCGTTGTTTGTTCTGGGATTCTGGTGGTATATCCTATTTTAGCTAATCATTTCAGTTGTTCCATTCTTTGACTTGTCCAGCTATTTTTCTTCTCTTTCTGTTGCTGCCTGAGTTAGTTGCCTGCTACTCCATCTGCTAAACAGAACATTAATTCTGATTTTTGCCCATTTGACTGTAGCCTCCTGCCTAGCCAGGCTGAGTTCTTCCCTAGGTTGCTGTTTCTCCAGATAGGTGTGTGTTCCTTCTTGACTCTTCCTGGGCACATTATCTGCCTGCCACTCCATGACTTTGCAGTTCCTTCCTACATCTGCTACTATTATTGACTCTCAATCAATTCTTCTCAACATGTTTCTCCCCCAGGATTTTACCTTTTTGGTTTTATTTAGTTGATGTCATTCTCCTGGCACTACGGATTCTTTTCCTATTTGTCCTGTATTAATCTCCTTCACCTTTAGTCCTGGTATGACTTCATCAAGATAACCCTTACAAAATTTCAGCCTTGGCTGAATGTGTAGTTAAGAGACTTTTCCCTTCTCCAACACCCATTGCTTCTTGGCCTCCCCTGCTGTACTTAACTCTCACTTTTAGTCCTTTTTAGTCAGTTCTATCTTTCCTTCGCATTCACACTTTTTGTTCTTGCCATCAACAAGTTCAACAACAAGTTCATCAACAATATAATCATGGCTTAATTTCATGCTGGTTTTTTCCATTCTCCTTCCAAAGTGTTTATCCAATTCCTTCCCTTTTGTACATTAATAAGTCAGTTTGCTTTTTTGGAAAAAGTAGACAGCAGAGGAGCAATGGATTCCTTGTCTTCTTGCAGCAACCAAAATTAAAAAAAAAAAAATCTTCATTCTCATAATTGTGATCATCAATTTGCCTTCTAGGGATGGCTTCATTCTTTCTAATTATAGTATGTAGTGGGTTCTAGGTTTATCAGGTATACTAGCACATTTTTTTCTGAAATCTTAGCATTAATATTGATCAAGTCTTGTTGGTCATGCCCAGATCCTGGGGTTTTTTTATGAAGAATACTTTACAGGTAAAAGTAGGAAAAATACTTAAACTTAAGGAACAAATTGAATACTTTACAGGTAAAAGTAGGAAAAATACTTAAACTTAAGGAACAAATTGTATATAGGTATTATTAATTTTCTACCTAACTTAAATTTTATTCAGAAGCTTTTGAATCACTACAACCCCTCTCTCCCCTATTGTAGCAGACAAGTTTTGTACTTTTGCCCTTCCCTCTAAAAATCTTCATAGTTTGCCCTGAAACCTATATAAGAGAAAAATATTAAATTGAAGCAAATAATTATCACAAAGTGGTTTTGAGATAATAATTATAAATTTGTAATGGCCTAAGAATTGGAAATGAAATTGTATTATTTCAAGGATTTTAAAATAAGAAATAATTTAATTTACTTTCTATTCAAAATCCTTATAAGTGTTCCTTATATTTGGATCTTACTGAAGGAATAGCTGATAAGGAACTTGTGTCCTTATCGTATACCTAAAAATGAAAGCAAATATTATTTTCAGTGAAAAACCCAGTGTGCATTCCAAATGTGCCAGTGTAGCCCTCCTGCAGAATACCAAACAGCTGTAGTCCTTAGGGCATGCTAACTTTCAGAAATGAGAACAGGCAACATTTTAATAGGCAATCTTAAGGGAAAGGGCAGACTCTCTTCCTGCAGAAAGCCTACAGTGAAACTACTTTCCATAAATATTTGAGCTCTTTAAATACAAACTGGTCAGAATTGCACTTTTTCCACAGTTAGTATGCTAGTGTACAAGAAATGAATAACATGGGAAAAATGCAGTTGTTTTCCTGCTTCTGATAAAAAAAGCTTTTGGACTGGACTTGCACAGCTGCACAAATGAGAAACTTGGAGAATGTAGACCATATGAATATGCTGTATCTGAGTGTGAAAAGTAAAGTTAGTACCTGCAGTCTCACAGCAACCAGTTTTGCCTTTCTCCAGACACATGATTAGTGAATGGCAAGAGACATGTTTCAGTATCCCAGTGTATCCCCAGCTATCACTGTACTGATAAATAACCATTCTTGTTTTTAATATTCTCCAGAAAGGAGAAAACAGTGTCAGCTGTAGTTACAGTTGCTCCACTAACCAGCCTCTGACCAGCTCTCCTATTCCCCACCTTGGCTTAGAAGCAGTTCAACATTTAAGAAGTCTAAACTTTTCTATGTGTCCTAATTACAGTAACGAATGCTCTGGTTATAGGGTACAGATTTAATGAATGACATGAACACCAATTATATATTTAATTCTTTTCTGCTAAATGGTGAAAGAGTGCAAGACTATAAAAAAATTGAGGCTGTTTAGAAGTATATATTCTAATGCTTTCCAAAATGTTATCCATTAATTCTGTGGAAACGTAAATGTTTACAGGATACAAGCCCATCTTACTAGCTGTAAATAAAAGAAAATAAAACATATACATACTTTTTTAATGTAGTTTCTATGATCTGGTTGCTAAGGGGATTTTATGCACATTGTACATGCAGACAATGAAAGAG